CGCCGAAATCGACGGTTGCTTTAAAGGCTTACGACAATTCTTCTAACTGCGACAAAAGAGTGAAATTATAAAAATATTGAGCATTTAGCATTGTTTAATGAGTAATAAATAAGTGTAGAAACAATAATGAATACCTGTATTGCGTTAGTTACAAAATATGGTTGATCATTCAATGAATAACATATTTCTTATACCGTCCGTCATAGGAGTTATTGTTCCTATGTTAACTGGTTTATCTTCTTTTTGATGAATATAATCTATATAGATGCTTTTGGAAGAATATTTAAATAGTATTAAAATCGTATAGGTGGATCTTTTGTGGTACACACTTCTGCGATTTCATCAGTGTTACGCAGATTAAATCTGTGCTTTTTTTGAAAAAATATCTGTTTGTTGAATAAGCACGTTCCTACTTCAAAGGGAGGCAGGCCCACTCTAAAGTTGTGTAAGTTTTATTTTTCCTTCGTCACGTCGGTCATCATACCGTACGTCTGTGCCAATGAATAACCCCCTAAATTTAGCAATACAATTTTTTTTTAGCATAACTTTGATTCCATGACATGCAGATGTCAGTTGTCTCAGCCTTATCAATTACATATAGTGTTCAATATAATATCTCTTCTGAAGTTTAGGTGTAGTGTAATATACTTGTAGGGAAGCTGGCTTTGATTCTTGAAATGAGGGACCTCGTTCATATGGTCATGCGGCTTAATTGGCAACAATAATTGAGCGGAGCGAGCGAAGCTCTTATACGTCGATTCTTATGCATTTCGTAATACGCAAACTCCTCCTAGACAGCTGAATCAACCGTTTTCAAATTTTGCATAGTGATAAAGACCATATCGGTGAGTGCCAAAATCTATATGGCGGTAAAAAAGTCTCTCAGGAAGCTGAATTTTTATTTCAGGATTAGTGTTGCCTACAGTATTATTTTGAGGCTTCTGATTGGCTGAGGGAACATCATTACCGCAACGATACTGTTGATCCCAACGGCGTCGGTGGTGTAGTGGATAGAGTGCTGGGCTGATGAACCGAAAGACCCGGGTTCGAATCCCACCCGTAGCACTATTTTTTTTGTGTTGTATTTTTTCATTATCAACAAGTTTGGTTGGTTTGGTTAGGTTATGACGGTTTAATTTTATAATTAAAACATTATGAAATTGAATTTGACCCATTTATAGTTTTATTTTATGAACAGAAATATTTTTCTCGGTTAAACCTTCATTTGATTTTTCATTGTTAGCAAGTCTGGTTAGTTTGGTTAGGTTATGATAGTTAAATTTTATAATAAAAAAAATTATAAAATAGGATTTGAGGCATTTATAATTTTATTTTATGAACAGAACTATTTTTTCGATTAATAAACCTTCATTCGATTTTTTTCATTGTCAGCACGTTTGGTTGGTTTGGTTAGGTTATGACGGTTTAATTTAATAATAAAAAAAAACATAAAATTGAATTTGAGGCATTTATAATTTTATTCTATGAACAAAAATAATTTTTCAATTACTAAACCTTCGTTATAGTCAATCAGAAGCCTCTAAATGACACTGTTGGCAAAATTAATCCTGAAAAACAAATTGTGCTCTCAGGAATCCGCCCCACTGTGTCTCAAAGTTTCAATGTAATCCTTATGGAAGCAGTATTTGACACATAAACAAAAACAAAGACATATGATCAGCTGTTGACTTTTGAATGCAGTAGATATAGAAATAGCTGATAGCATTAATCCGCAGATATTAGAACAGAAACGGTATGGATCATAAATATAATCAAATGACGTCACTAGCTTGAGGTCCGTGACGTAGGAAGTGGTGAAGGAAGTAGTAAAGGTGAGCAGTCTAGAGTGTGGAAACTGTTTATGACGATTAGATTTAGGTATCTGCAATCCTAAAATGCTATTAAAAGGGAAGGAAACAGGTCCGTGACGTAGGAAGTGGTGAAGGAAGTAGTAAAGTCGAGCTGTTCGATGTATGGGATCTGTTTATGACCATTAGATAAAGGTATTTGCAATCCTAAAATGCTATGGGAAGGGAGGAAAACAGGTCCGCGACGTAGGAAGTGGTGAAGGAAGTAGTCAAGGCGAGCTCTCCGGAGTGTGGAAACTGTTTATGACAATTGAATAAGGTATCTACAAATCTAAAATGGTATGGGAAGGGAGGAAAACAGGTCCGTGACGTAGGAAGTGGTGAAGGAAGTAGTAAAGGCGAGTTTTTCGGAGTGTGGGAACTGTTTATGACGATTAGATTAAGGTATCTGGAATCCTAAAATGCTATTGGAAGGAAAAAAAAACAGGTCCGTGACGTAGGAAGTGGTGATGGAAGTAGTAAAGGCAAGCAGTCCGGAGTGTAGGAACTGTTTATGACGATTAGATTAAGGTATCTACAAATCTAAAATGGTATGGGAAGGGAGGAAAACAGGTCCGTGACGTAGGAAGTGGTGAAGGAAGTAGTAAAGGCGAGTTTTTCGGAGTGTGGGAACTGTTTATGACGATTAGATTAAGGTATCTGGAATCCTAAAATGCTATTGGAAGGAAAAAAAAACAGGTCCGTGACGTAGGAAGAGGTGAAGGAAGTAGTAAAGGTGAGCAGTGTTGAGTGTGGGAATGGATTAATGTATCTGCAATGCTAAAATGCTATGGGAAGAGACTGTAGACTGTAGGTTAAAATGATTACGAAGCATGAATCTATACATATTTTCGATACATGCAATCGTTTACAATCAAAATTTACAACTGAGTTGACAACAGCTGATTTTTACTCGACAGAGGCTAAAAACGATTTTTACTCCCTAAAGAGCTAAAATGCTACTTTACACCCGCAACACTTGCATTAAAAACGAATGTTTTACTGCAGTATGACAAAAACAATATAATATGAACCCTTGATGACTCCGCTCAATTTTGTGGATACCTCTGCGAACGCTACCTAGTAATGCAAATGACAAAGCAATGCTGCATTTCCAAAAAGCAAATACTGTAAATTGTTACAAAAATAGTGATGTTTACATGTATTGTTGTTAATCAATGTATCTTAGAAAGGATGAGGAGATCTTTTTCTATAACCATTGACATAGTTTAGAAAAACATATTCTATGATAACATTTTGGATTAATTAAGCCTACCACATAGTTGTGTAAAATATTATAGACCTATTTAATTTCTTTAGATCAGCTGTCTGAAATTTTTAAATAAGCAATTTGGCAGTTCTTCTGGTTTACATTGAAATGTCAAAGCAAATTTAAACATCTATCTATCTATACAAAATTAAAAAGTAAATTGGTCCTAGGCCTAGGTCTTACCGTGCCACCTACAAGTAATAGCTACTTCCCAATAGGGAAATTCGCTTAAATCAACGTATTGTTAAATTGAGCCTGTGACGTACTGTCCTGTTGTAAATAGTCAATTCTCTTGTAGATTATACTTCAAATAAAAAGTATATCCCATTGTATTGATTGATTACTGAATACGCAGCCCTTGAAAGATTACTTGAATTTGAAATTCTGAATCTTTGAGCTGATCCCATTTTTTATTTGTTTGTCTGTTTAAGTTCAGGTTTGCGGCATTGTATTTTACTAACAAAAGACCATTAATTTTATGTGGACATCAACTTATGCTTACTTTAAAGATTTTCTTCTGACTCCAAGCAGCCTGTCCCCCTGAGAAGGTAGCGTATCACTGAATAATGTTTTGAAACAATTTTTATGGCCAGTGACTTTGATCTAAATTTTGTAACTATCTTTGTTAATTTTTTAAATATTTAGCTGCCCCCGAGACTTTTAAAGTGTTAAAACTGAAAAAATGTAAATTTTTTAACTTTTGTAACTCTGTAACCATTCCCTTTCACAAGATTATGAAAAGGACCATTCTTATTTGAAATTTATCATAGGCCTATATCATTTTAGCGAATTTCCCTATAGGGAAGTAGCTATTACCGTAGGTGGCACGGTAAGACCTAGACCCGGGACCGATTTACTTTTTCATTTTGATGTCCCCAGAGGCCAAAAACACCATTCGTTCAAATTTTTATATATGTATATATATATAGACATATATATATGTATATATATATAGACATATATATATATATATAGACATATATATATATATATATATATATATACGTCCGTGAACTCGATAACTTGAGTAATTTTTGTCCGATTTTGATGAAATTTGGTTTAAAGGTGTAAAGCGGGATAAACTTGAATGAGTTCGCGAACCAGCACGATCGGACCATGGGAACGGGGCTTTACGGGGGGTTTTATGGGGTAAAAATTGGTTTTTCTCACTTTTGACCCTCAAAACACAAAATTTCCCGATTTCTCTTTAAACCTTTTTAAAGAGCTTAAAAAAACAAATAATTTAGTATATAAAAGTATTTTTGTTCGATTATTAGTAACGGAGAAAATTAAAAAAATTGTAAATTTAAAATTCCCATGTTATTCTTATGGAGAATATTGTCAAATGTTGTAGTTTGCTTGTTTATGGATATATTTTGATCAAACTTGGCAAATATATTTATTTTGTACTAAGCTATCAATATTTTACTCAAAAACACACTTTATTAGTTTCCTTGTAGCAGCAAACCTAGGTACTCGTTAAACCTAATGTTATTAAAATATATTTAACTGAAAATCAATTCAGACAAATGGAAATTCGCTTAGTCGGCAGGTTTGCTGCGGCGAGGGTATTTGTAACTAACGTATTTTGCGCTAAACCACATGGTTTTTGAGATAGTCAATAACAATAAAAAAAAACTACCATGTTATTAACTTTAACCCCATCCCCCCCCCCCCAAACTAGACGCTCAAAATGGTGTAACTTTTTACCATACAATACGTGGACTATATCGAACAGTTTGAGTTTGGAGTCAAAAGTTAGCTTTCACTTTTGATGTTGATGTTTATGTTTAATTGCATCGTATTAATAAAGTAAGTGGTGTATCAATATCTATACTTAGTACATCACAATGAGCTTATTACAGTATTATGATTGATTGCAGGTTTCACACGATGGTGGACGTGTTGTCCACCAGACTTCAGGAGGTTTATACACGATGGGAGACAAAAAGTGTGCCTACGCACCACAGTCTGCGCACTACTAAGCTGAGCACGCCGCGCACACGCAGCAAGGACCTCATACATCAGGTTTCTGACCGTCAGTTGTTCAACATCAAGGAGACAGAGTGGAGCCCCTTGCCTGAGAAACAGCAGCGGCCCTTCCTTGGACTCACCTGCTCATCCTGCACTCCTAGCAGTAGGGTCAGTATCACTCAACTATAGTCCCTCAACCACTAAGCTAGTGTCACATTCAGGCATTAGCGTGTTGCTCTGACGATTGTAGCTTTGAGTGAAATCCCTGAGTGTATGAAATACATATTAAGCTAAATAATGAGTTGCTTAGCCGGTGGAAGGAACCTCAAATAAACACAGTCTGGCTTGGTCGAAATTGACAGATTTAGTGAGTCACAAAATACTCTTGTATTCTGGCTCAAATACCACCCAACTTACTAAATCTAAATCTATTTCCAAAATAAACTTGTCAGTAACAATAAAATAAGGTACAAAATAGAGTTTTAGGCTTTAGCGCAATCTGTGACTGGCTCACAGAACTACATCTTTTTTAGTAAAAAATTGGCGACAGCTGATCCATATAGATGGGATGTCTTCTTCTGTATCCAATAGTCAATGCTACAACTTATGTTTAGTATAGTAATGACAAAGGACAATCAGAAATTTTTGAGAACTTTTCTGTTGCAAGACTTTACTATATTTTAACCCTCCAAGTGTCTCTAGTTTTGGTCTTAATGTTCGCCCATTTATTGCGCAATCGCAGGGTTTTATTAAAATGTACCTTAGAAACTTAAAAACAATGTAAAGTATACTGTTTTATATATAATTTTGTTTGGAAAATGATGGGCTTCAATGTAACATATAAAACATTACAAAAAAAATGGTCAACAATTTTTGTGGGGTTAAGTTAACATTTCTCAAAAATTATAAAATAAATGAAAAAAATTTATGTTTGCGCCCAATAAATTGTTATAATTTATAGGTCTACAAATATTTTAAAATATCCACTTTGTTCAGAATTTTATGAGGATTCCAAAAATATAATAATATAAGGAAGTAGATTTGCAAATAAATAAGTTATGGGCAAAAAACAGATTTTGGTACATAGCGTTTAGCTAAGAATGCATAGCCTAACCATAGCTAGGAATCTGGCTGATAATTTACATCAATATCACTACCTACTTCTTCAGGATCATCAACCAGCCCTTCAAAATCACTTAAATCTTCTCATAAAGCACCACGTATATCACTACTTTTGATTTTTAACACTAAAACAATGATAAACGTAATAAAACACATCAGTCATCGGTACGAGGCTAACCAAGCTGTTTACAAATACGCACGTCAGCTGTCTGCTACAATTATGATCGGCTCGAGAAAAAAAAAGCGCTTAGAGACAGACCTCGGGAGAAAGCTTAGAATCTGCCAAATAAAACGATACCTAACTCGATCAAGTTCAATCAGATTTTGTCAGTCATAGAGCCTTCGCCGTAAACAGTGTTTGTGAGTCGAAAAATCGACACATAACACTACACAAAGTGTGTTATGTGTCGATTTTACGACACATAACACTCGGAGGGTTAAGCATCTCTTATGAAAAAATAACAAAATGTAAAATTAAATTTAAAATGAAATAGACTTATGATCTATATTAGAATGAAGTGTTTTAATCTTGGTTTTCCTCATTACTGATTATAAACAACCTAGGGTTATTTAGCAACTATGATAACTTTTGACGCAAATCAGTTTTTAGTAAGTTTGTAACCAATACTTGCTGATAAGACTCTGTGACCCCGAGGTTGAGGTCAGTATTGCCATTCTTGTTGGCTTCAATTCTCTCAAGGTCAGATTTATAACTAGGAGCATTGGCAATAAAACTTCCATGGGTGCACACAATCGTAAATCTATATTTTTAATTTTTATACTCTGTTTAAGATGTAAGAACCTCTTCTTACAGGTTAACAGAAATTAATTATTACGTTCTGATTTCATTGGCACATTAGCAATTTAAACACAACTAGCAGAAAAACGCGGCTTTGCCTGGGTAAAATTATACAATGTACAATAAGTGGTTGTAGAATTATTTTTTTTCTCTTCTCATAGATGTACACATATTATGGTACTATTAAATCTAGAAATATGTTAAACTAGTGTCCCTGTTGCTCGAATTCAAGCAATAGCTAAGTATTACAGGCGTTATTTTAAAACGAACAACATCCATAATTTCTGATGACTTTAAAAGATTTGACTTAAAGATTATGGAAATACTCAAGAGGTACATAACAGATCAATATAATCAACATTTCTTGTAAATATCTTGTCATTTTTCCAAAGCTGATCTTGTTTTTTAGTGTTTTCTACAAATAGCCTTATTCATAGCCGCATTAGGTTGTCCATAATAACGATTATAAATTCTAAAAAAAAAATTCTATTTCTTTTCCTTGGTGGTGTTCTATGACTTTTCTATGTTTCCATAGTTTGCAAATCGGCTCTTTCAATGATTACTACGAAATGCAGCACAGTGTTAATTCAGTTTTCTTTTTAGTACGGTATATCAATTTATCCAGGCTCTCTCGCTTTTTTCCACTGTAATATTTACGCGAACCCAAATGAAAAAGTAAACTATTTTATTTAAACCAAGTCAGTATATGTTTGTAGCAAACTGTTAAATTAGCAATCTTGTTGACTTTACAATTAACATATGATCTTCTTCTCACTTTTAATTTCTGACAACAGCTGGAGTTTCATAACCATTTTTGTTTCCCATGTTAATCTTATGGAGAAATACAAAAATGAAAAGGGCCCTAGGGCCTCACTCTCTAATTATTTGCCTAAAAAGAAAGTTTCCTGCACAACTTCACGTTACGCTCTTTCCAATGACACCAAAAACATGACAATCGGATCAGTAGTTTCGGAGGAGTAATTGTCACAAAAAACCTGCTTGCGTATTAAATAAGTATAGATATTGAATGTAGCACAAGTTCAAGGCGTATGAAAGAAGGTGTGTGCATAGTGACGTCAGTGCGAGTAAAACGTGTTTTATTTGACCAAATCATATGTTTTCTTGTGATTTTCCAAAGACTTTCGAATGACAATCATTACGAATTAGCATTGAATATATAACACCACGAATACTAGACAAATGTGTTTTTCTAGTATTCGTTTATAACACTACTTAGTTATATATATAACACGAAATAATTGCGACGATATTAAGTATACATTTGGTTTTAAAATAATGGACAGTTTTCGTGTCGTGGTATGCTTAATATCCTCGCAATTATTTCGTGTTTGGGCTCAATGTTCTTGTTATTTGATGCAGGTTACAAAAATGACGTTATTTAATACACATTATGGTGATATACAAACATTTTACCAACTATGCATTGAGCCCAGTGGGTGACTCATTGTCAAAGCCCCGAGCAGCCGAGCGAGGGAACGGGACGATTGGCACAGGCACACATTTTTGGATCTTCTGCCCATGGCAGTATTGGCACAATCATTTGAGCGGAATAAGGAGGGTCAACTAGCCTGCTTGGAAAAGGCACGATTGGCACAACCGCTCGACCAGGTAAACGCCATCGAACGAGGGAAAACGGGAAGTTTAAAATTCCCCGTCAACTCTGCTACGACAGTCATTTGCCGGTAATATCGCGTATTTTCAATGGTTAGGTTAGGTTATGTTAGCTTAGATTAGGTTAGTCTAGGTTAGGTTAGGTTAAGTTAAGTTAGGTTAGGTTAAGTTAGGTTAGGTTAGTTAAGTTAAGTTAGGTTAGGTTTAGTTACGTTAGGTTGGGTTAGTGTAGTTTTATTTAGGTCCAGCAGGGGCATAGTGACCGTAGCAGCAGATTTGTTGCTCAAACTTACACCATGGATGAAGTAATTGCTAACTCTAATAAGCACTACAGCGGGGACTTTGTGGGGACAAAACAATTTCCATTTTCCCGCATTCTTGCTACCTGCCTACTACTTCCTTACCGGTCTGTTGCGTCAATCGTGTCTTTCCGAACCTTACAGTTTGACCCTTCTTAATCCCCTTTAATGATTGTGCCAGTCGTGCTATTCCAAATCGGCTAAAAATGTGTGCCAATCGTTCTACGGCCCCGAGCGAGGGCTAATTTAGGGGCTGGGACCACTCGGGACACCACCCGACCGTCCTAATCCTTCAGCCGCCACGAATCTTTTATTGGTTGAAGAGGACTAAGTCCTAAAACAGCCTCAGTCCAGTAGGGTTTCAGCTCTCTGGATTGGAACGTCACGAAGAACGAACGAATCTTTGCGGAAGGTATAACTACTCACTCACCCCTACCCCAGCACTGCAAATAACCGTATCCGTAAGTTTTAGTTGGGCTAGCGACCTGTCCGCGAGCACAGAAGTTTTGGCCGAACTGTATGTTTAGAGTATGTCATTAAAATGTTATAAAGTCTCTACAACTTAAGCTATATGCCATTTTGTGCTGTTTTTGTTAAATATATGTAAATACAATCTTTCCGATTTATTTGTAACTATTTATTTTCCACTAAGGCTACTTAAATGAGAGATTTTCAATTATATAAAACATAAGTAGGAGCTGAAAAAAGGTATTATACTTAAAACTATTCGTATATTGTCACCTAAAAATATGTTGCCTGTTAAGGCAGCCACATTTACAATATTTACTGCTTTACTGTTTTTCGATTAAAAGGTACTCACTATCAAAATGCTATATACTAATACTACCACCATTGAATATACTGTATAACACTATGACTATATTCAATATTGAATACAACACTATATTGGATATAAAACGCTAAATAGTGTTATATATTCAATGCTAATTAATTCGTAATGATTGTCATTCGAAAGTCTTTGGAAAATTAGCCTACAAGAAAACATATGATTTGGTAAAATAAAACAAGTTTTACTCGCACTGACGTCACTATGCACACACCTTCTTTCATACGCCTTGGCACAAGTTTCCTTAAATTGCAACTAAAATATGAAAAGCAATTAAATCATCCAGCTGATCATAATGTAAACAAATAAGTTCTTCATAAGGATAAAATGGGAACTTTAAAAGCCACTGGGACAGAGCCCAAGGGACTTTTCAAAGTTAAATTTACTTTAGTTGTTGAAAATTGAATCAGTTGATAAAACAATAACAAATATTTGTATATTTACGTCGGCAAAAGGTCGGCAAAAGATT